GTGACAGTCCTTGTCAGCCTGTTCTGCACTTTGTCACTCACAGGCTGCCAGGACCTGCTCTAGACCCCCGAGTTGGGCACTCAGCCATGGCACGGGCTGCCCTGGTACCTGCAGCTGCATCTGCTTGGCCCTGCCATACAGCTTTTCTGTGGTCCCAAGACCAAGGCTGGTGCCACACTGCACAAAACAAGAGATGGTCGAAAAAGGGAGGAGAAGGAGGGAAGCAGTTCTTTGTGGGGTTCCTCCAGCTCTGCCCCAAAGTACCACACTCCTGCAGGCCCAGCTCAAGAGGGCACATGCTGTCCTATGATGAGGGACACAGAGAGGATCATGTTCACCATGGCCAGAGCTGCACCCCAGGTGGGACCTTGTTAAGAGATGGCAGGGCCTTGGAAGTGGCACCTTGAAGGACTGGGAAAAGCACACTGCCCCTTCCAGGTCGGCACACTGCAAGGTCCAGAAGAATGGAGACCACTGCTCTGATTTTTCTCACCACGATGTCAATAGACTTAAACTAGTAGCATCAAAGCCCCCTGCAAGAAGAGCTCCCAGGAAGGGCTGGTGGGCTGATGGGGCAGTCTTTGCCTGCAGCATCCGCACTGACATGCCAGCACTTCGGGCATCCTGCTGAGCCCTGTGGGATGAGATGGGATGAGCCATCTCTGTCTGTAGATGTGGTTGCCTCAGAAACTGCCAAACCACCGGAAACAAAAGCAGCTTTGAGCTTTCATCCTGCCATTAGAGGACCTGGAATGGGCCACCCCACCCCAGGCCTGTGGGGCAGAGGCCATCGGCTGCCCCCCTCCCAGGGCAGAGGGTGCTGGGGGAGCATGAACACGTTTGAAAAGCCACCTCACTCCTCTAGTTGTCATGGAAGCAAAGGGCCAGTCACACTGGGGGCATTTTCACACACATCTGTCCTAAACCTGGTTTCATTAAGCAGTGACCTACCAGGAGGCACCAAGCAAGCACCCCCAGGGTCACGGGGAGGCTCAGCAGGGCCAGGCTGAGACAGAAAGGGGTGACCTATCTTCAAGGCATTCCTCTCCCTCCCTCAGACACCGTTACTGAGACCAGGGATGACCCTGCTCCCCAGGGAGCAAATCCAGTTCCTTCTTTGGCGATGGTGGGAGTGCGTCTTTTACACTGTCCCAGGCCACTTCTGCAGCATAATCTCTCCTCCCAAGCTTCAGGTTTCGTTGAAATCCTCTCTGGACCTGCCTGTGGGGTGTTAACTTACAGTGCTGGGGGCCAGGAAAGACAAGAAGTGCCCGAGCGGGCAGCAGCTGCTGCCCCCCGCCAGCCCCTGCCCGCCCCCCGGCACACGGATCTCGGGCTCCCTGCAAACAGTTGGTGTCCCCTACTAAAAAAAGGAAGGGTTCAGGTAGTGCAGAGCATCTGGGGGCTGCGACCAGCCATGGGGAGCCATCTGACACAGCAACGGGCCATGGGCCCGTTTCTTGGCAGAGCTTGAAGCTCTGTTAGTGAAAAATAAGATGGGAGCAAAGGACCATCGCTGGAGACATCCAGGCATCTGGGCGTGCTCCTCACTGTGCTCCCAAAGCCCTCACCGTAATATGGTGACAAACATTAGCACAAAGTGAAGTTTTGGAGAGCCTGGTACTGCCCCATGTCCCTCCGCACCAAGTGTTGGTGCAGTCAGAGCTCCGTCCCACCATCCAGCCCATGAGGAGGGCTGACACATGGCTGAGGTGACATTGGAGACCTCCTCCTGGATGGGCAACCTCACATGTAGCTGATAGCAGTGATAACACCCCCCCCCGAAAAGGAGCTCTGGCAAAGCCTCGCAGGTTTAGGGGGGCTCAGCCACATCTCAAGGGCCAGGTCGGAGCAGCTGCTGCCCTCCAGCAAGTCCCCAGCCCCTTCTGTCCCCCTGAGCAGCACTGGGGTCACCTGGATGTGAAAAGCCACACGCACAGTGGGACCACAGGGAGCAGAGATGGAGGTGCCACTTCTCAGGGGCACATGTGCCTGTCCTCGGTGCGAGGTTTGACACAATTCTTCAGCTCTTGGCTGCCTGATTTCAGTCCATGCAGCACAGGCAACATCATCCCTCCAGTGCCTGGTGCGATCAAACCTGACAACCCTACCAGGGGGGCATCAACACACTGAGCAGCGTGGGGACAAGCAGGCATTGCCGTGTCCCTTCATGCTGCCATTCAGTGCCCGGCTGAGGCTTCCTGCCAGGGCAGATCCACAAACCACCCCTGGAGCAGAGCCAGATGCTGCTGAGAGCGGCTGGAGGCGCCGGCAGCCGTGCACTGGGACACGCAAGGATCGAGCGGAGCCAAACCCTGGCTCCCCAGCACGTCCCAAAGCAACCAGTTCAGGAGAGGATGAGGCTGTGCGAACCCCTCTGCACCATGGGGCAGTCGCTGAGCAGGGCTGCATGTCCTGAGCCACCACCACCCCTTGAATATCAAAGCAGCCTGGCAAGGAGAGCAGGCAGGGTGCAGAGCTGCCAGCCAGGCAGCTGTGGTCTGAGGTTCTGAAATTAATAAATAATTTAAAAATACTTAAAGACTTAAAATAACTTAAAAAGCAGTAGATGTGGAGAAAGAAAATCTCTATTTAGGATGAAATGGGACTGAGACCCGCTTCTCTGCCTGATTGACCAGGACAGTGGGACATCACTGTCATGGTGATTGCACCATCAGGGTGCAACTACTGAGGCACAGGACCCCAGTAATCCTTTATTACCTGCATTTTTGCTTGTCATAATGACAAAACACACTGGTTCTTCTGCAACCCCCAGCTATGCAGTTCATCACCTCTGCCCATCCCCAGCTAAAGCAGTGGCTGGTCCTGCCTGGGTATCTTCATATGATGGGAAGGATTGAACTGTGGGACTGATGAGAAGGGTATCTATGCAGCCCTCACCTCCAAACACACTGATAGAGTGGTAGCACCTTCCACTTCAACCTGGCAGCAGGATGGGATGGTGCTAGGCTGCATCAAAGGTGGAAGCCTCAGCCCTGGGTGCACATGCAGCTCAGAAGTGAGAGCCCACTGTCAGCAGTGTCACATCTCCCCTTCCCAGCCCACGCTGAAGCTCTAGTGTAATTAGTAATGAATATAAATAATACAAACAACGAGATAAATAATGCAAACAAATCGTATCACTGCCCTGTGAGCCTCTGCTGTTACCCAGATACTGTGATGATAGACCTGTTAGAAGAACTCAGTGTAAAAGGCCAGTGACATTAAATCAACACGTGGCACCACGTGCGAGGCAGCCCAGTGAAAACACAGTGCTTCTTTTTGGTGCCAACAATACTATCTGATGGGTTCTGTTGGAAAAGAAAGGCAGGAAAAAAAACAGAGAGGGGGAAGAAAATTCACAGCATTAATTTGTGGGTTAAATTCAGCCATGCAGGAGGTTTGCTACAGAGCAGCAGACACAAGCCAGCATCATCATAGCTTGCCTGGAGCCCATTGCTGCTTCCCCAGCCATAGTTCCATGGATGCTGCTCCTTCTGCCATAGTCCAGGCCCCTTCCCACTGTGCTTTCCCTGCCCCAAAGAGCTGGTGCTGCTCCATATCACCCCATTTCATCTCTCCTGGTATAGCACACTTCTGCATTTCTTTTCCCCTTTCTTGTGGTCTGGTGATCACTGAATGCTCTAATTGTTTCCCCTCACAGTTGGTTGACACCGCTGTTTTCTTAGGTCCCTAGAGACCAACTTGCAGCATCAAAAATAAGTTGGTTTTAAGCTGCTTTGATTGTGAGTGAGGTTTTCACCCTGCCATAGATACATATAAACCGTTATTTGTATAGCAAAGCCAGCTTTGGGCTGGATCCTGGATACACGGCATGATTCTGCATTAGCAGTGAGATTTTCTTTTGCAGTAGGACTCGACTGGATCAAGCACTTGGTGTCAAAAGCGCAAAAGTATCCAAAAAATGAGGCCTTCCTTACAAAAGAGACAAAACTTAGAGGTGGAAAGCAAATATCTAGGTGTTTACTCATAGTTTATGTTGCAAAATGAGGAGTTCCTTCATGCTGCGCCTTCCACAACCCCAATCACCATCTGCTTCAACTAGTGCATCCTGCCCCTATAAAGGGCTCTGAGCTCTTTCGGGGTGACAGCAGCACACAATGTTACTGTCTCTGCCCGGCCACACCGGGAGCTCTGAAGCCTGTGGCTGATTTCAATCAGCATTACAGAAGGTGAGGTCTTTAAGCCATCAGTCTCCCACAGCTGTCACAAAATTGAACATTTGGTAGTGAAGAGAAAAAGTGAATAACCTTCGCAGTGCCTAGGCTAAACCATACCATGAGCCTGCTTCGTATTAGACATCAAAAAGCTAATGGGGTTTCAAAAAGCTTCACTCCAGATTTGGGCTTTGTTTAACGACCAACCTCAGCCGGCCACAGGGCACAAATCACAGAAAGCCCTTGAAGTGTATTTTAAGTGTATTTTGAAATATATAGTTTTTATGGGTGTTCATAGATATATGTGTATATAAAAAATTAATTCAAAGTCTGTTTTAAAACATTAGAGCATTTAAAACTACATCGCCCCAAAATTTGCAAGCACCCTGACCATGACCTAAAGCTTCTAACGACCTGGCAAGAGCTGCATATTCCCAGAGCCCTCTTCCTCAGGTGGCTAGTGTCCAGGGGGCTTGGGAATCACAACCCCTACTCAAGGGATGGCACATTTCCAAAGTCTTTCCAGATGTGTACCTTGGCAACCTCAAATTCAAATATTAACAGGTCCAATTAGCAGCCACATCTGGATCTTGCAGATGGTTACTGTGCACAGGTGAGGAGATAAGAGAGAAGCGGGTCCTACAGGTCAGTAAGATCATTCCACCCCTGTTCCACACACGTGATGCTGACTGATGATCCTCACCTTGGCCTCAGATGGAGTTTCTGCACGTTCCCATACCGTCAGAGAAGCTCACATGTTGGATGAACAGCTTGGACCAGCCAGGACATGACAGCCCAGCCAAGGAGCAGGTGCTGAGCATCACAGCCCCCAGGGGCTCAGCTCAGTGGGGCTTTGGCAGGGAATGTCTTCACTGCTCAGGGCTGAACTGCCAACCTCAGGTGGCACCAGGGATCATGCAGATGACATGTTCCTGGGTGCAGGACAACATCCCCGGGAGCGCGGTGCTGACAGAAGCAATGTATTCTATATCCCTACAGGAGAAGATCTTGACTCATCTTTCTCCCTCTTCTGTCCCATGCTTTCAGTCCAGGATCTAATCAAACTCCTGCATCAAGTTTTGCCTCTCAGAATTCTGCCCCGCAACATCAACTTAACTTCAGCAGCCCTGTGCCCTTAGAAGAACGTGCATATTAGGAAGCAGTGAGGAAGCGGCCGTGCAAATTCATAGGAGGCCTTGACACCTCCAGGATGAGTCCCCGTGGCAGCCGTTGCTGACTGATCAGTTACATGATCACTGCTCATAACTCATCAGAGCACAACTTACAATAACCTACACGTCTTATGGCAACATGTGAAGGTTCTGCAGCACACGAGTGCACACGTATGTGTTAGCCTCAACTCTCACCCTCCAGCCTGCACAGCTCGGTGTTTAACTGTGCCATGGGACAGAGGAGGGAGAAACTTTAAGGAGACTGAAGGAACACATCAGTTCGTGTGTGCACCTACAACCTCCAAGGGCACTAAGAAAAGGAGTCAACTTCAAGACTATATTTCCAGCCTTAAAGTTAGCCATGTACCTAGGCAACTCATTGAGAAATGTTTATGTAGAAGCATAAACCTGACAGCCAGTCTTGAATTAGTCCATTTTTCTAATGTCTCTAGATCTGGTGCTTTTCATTCTGAAGATTTATACCATTACCGTTATTTTTCTTTACAAACTAACTCCGTTGTCTCTCCTAAATAAATATAGATCCAATTCTGATCCATGTTTTAAAGAGTATTTTTTTCAAATCACCCTCTCTATTTAGCCACCCTAAATATGGCAGCCTGGAACATTACAGTACTGAACAGCTACAGAGTTACTTGCACAGAGATTCTTGCAATGTTTCTAACCCCAAAATTGCCACTAACAGGAGAACACAATTAGACTGAGCATTTACAGAGCACAACAAATATCTGACTACGCGGTGCCTTTGTGTACTAGCAGGGGCTGAGAGCTTCCAAGTAATTGAAAGGATTTATTTTAGGGGAAGGCGTGTGAGTACGTATTCTAAACAGCTCAGATGAATTCGACCAAAACGGTTCAG